GTTGTGCTTAGCATACCCAGCCTGCAGACAGCCAATACGGACATGCAAGGACTTTTGGGAAAAATTCTCCGAAATCTTATATAATTCATTTATTCAATACGACGTAGCCATTATTTTGCACGAAATATTCTCGAAGCCGAGTAGTGTAAGAGTCTATAAATCGGTGACCGATTCTGGGAACTTGTAGTGCATATGGTCAGGGATAGACTTCTCGTGTCGTCATTGACTATTTGGTCAGGAGATAAAATAAAAGTAAACTACTATCCGTTATTGGATGTCGGTGACATTTAAAAATCGAGGGAAGGGGTCGAATTAGAGGATAGCATTGGGTCAAATGATGCATTTGAAGTGCACAAAAAGCAGAGAATTAAAGTGTTAGTGCAAAATTCATTTCAACAGTTCCCCTCATTCCTTCACGGAAGATAAAGAGCTCTACGATTCATCTGCCTAAATTAATGCTAGGATAGGCAACTTAAGCAGGCTTTTAGCCATAACCGACTTATTTACATATCGGAGACCTTAGTTTGTGTGTGATTCACTTCTTAAATACCTCCTATCATAATTTCAATATACGTAGAAAAACTGGTTTTAAAAGAATCTTGTAAGAGATTGAAGTTGGGATACCTTTCATTTCGTTGGAAGAGATGAGTAGAAGGGATTCGTAAGTTGGCCTCATCGGAAGCTGTATGGGGATTTTCTTGAAGCTGCGAATATAGATTTGTGCGAATAGGTCCTTAAAGCACTGCACTACCACCATAAACAAATAATGTGATGTCTAACTAAGTGAATAAGATTTGCTAAAAAAAGTATGTAGGATTGCATCCGGCCATCTTTATTGTCTTTGTGCCTGGTGAATTATGGTAAATCATCGTTTCCTGTGCTGATGATGTCATTCAAATGGCGTACGAAAGCTCAGCAAGGATTCATTGATGTGGCAGAACGGTGCGCCGAGGACCAATTCGCACAAATCTTTTCACAGCTCCAAGACAAGCCCTCTCAGCCTCTTCAAATACACTGAAAGGTTGTCCAACAACAATTTCAATATGTCTAAGCGACCTGGTGGCAACGTATTTGTGTCCGTTCCGGAACACCCTGACTTATAACGTTAAAGTAGACGATAAGGTCATCATCCTCAACTTAGCTGGTTGTGGGGACTATATCAGTAAGAGAAAGACTTGGGAGGGGATAGAAATCAACAAAGCAGCCAACAACTTGTCTAGAAAGAATGAATGCAGAAAGTTAGTTGGAAACTGCATTTGGCTTTTGGATAGGATTAGAGAGAGGGGGGAACGAGAAATACCACTGAGCGACAAGAAGAGGCTTGATTAGGCTCGAATCTGGTTTTGACTCTCACATCACACTCATTTCAAGAGCAATGCAATCATACAGTACTCATGCAATGAAACACAATAAGATACGGTAACATTGCAGGATTAAAGGTATATGAGTTTTACGGGAGGTGGCAGTTATTCGATTACAAATCCATCCGTTTAACGCTTCGTCTGCAGCCCCGGAACTTAACTTTTAATTTAAAGAGGTGAGTGGAAGCGATTCGAAAGTTTGCTTCACCTGAAGCGGTAGGAGAATTGCCTTGAGGCTGTGACTGTAGATTTGTGCGAATAAGCCCTCGGTGTACCACGCTGCGACCCCGATGAAGCTTCACTGGGCTTTCGTTTATCATGTTGCGGGCATCGTAGAGCAGGACAACATGATTTACGATAATTCACCAAAATACGAAGACAAGAATGGTAGCCGGCTTTAAACCTACCTTGACTCTCACATCACACTCAGTTGAAGAGTAATGCATTCACACAGTACTTATGCAATGGAACGTAATCACATGCGGTAACATTACGGGGTCAAAGATACAAGTGTTTTAGAGGAGGATAACGCTGATCGGTCACAATTACATCTGTTTCACGCTTACTCTGCGGCCACTTCACACGTCATCCGCATCAACTTGATTTAACTTTTGAGCAAATATTTAGGCAAAGTATAGGATATCCAACTAAAACATGAGATGCCTAAGTGGACCAAATTGGACCATAAGATGTAGTTAAATTTGAAGACGGCCACTTTTCTTACCTTCGTGTTTTTGGTGAATTATCACTAGGCCTAGTGTCCGGCTCTGACGATGTTTTGGACGAAAACTCAGCAACAATTCATCGGGGTCCCAGGGCTATGCGCCGAGGACCTATTTGCACAAATCTACAATCACAACTCCGAGGCAATCTCTTTATAGCTTCTGGTGAGACCAACCTACGAACCCCTTCTATTCGCCTCTTCAAAATAAATGAAGGGTACTCCAACATAATTATATGAGGAGATTCTTCGAAGCCCAGCTTTTCTACATACCTACGAGGAATAGCCTCATGCCGTGAGAGCACAAGCAAACGGAAGATTAGGGAGACGTTTAACATGAGATTGGAATAAGGCAGATTTAGTGCTAACTTTGCCTATTGCTTAAGCAAACTGAGACCAAACAAGAGTACGGCAAGACCAACAAAAAGGATATGCCTGGAGCGTTAGCCGGACGATAAGAGATCGCAAGGAAGTAGCGGAAATCAAGCGAACACGTCTTCAGTGAGTGTAGTCTACTTGAACGAACAGATAAAAATTTTGGGGCATGGCGGCCACGGGACTAGCGAAGCAGATAATCACAGCCCTCACAGAAATTCGGAATTATGGTCAACTTAAATAGAAGTTCACTTTAAAGGCATCAGGCTACCAGAGATAGACGTTCACAGTTTACTCAGGGCACAACGGTTGGATTAAGGAAATGACTCGTGGAGACAATGGCTGATATCTGCAAGCTTGAGAATCAGATCTTAGGCGATCTTCTCGGTGAAGACACAGCTTACGCGCTACCAAAGTATTGTAGTATAACACGAGAAATAGATCCCGGAATTTGAAGTATGCTGTGACGTGCACCGAATGAAATCATTTAGCCAGAACAACAAGAAACTATTCCTGAAGGCATGAGGGTGATCCGAATAAGAGGTCGATGTCGGATCAGCAATTCCGACAAATAAAAAGGAAGGAAGGAAGGTAAGCATACAGGTGTTATATCGCCCTACTAAATTCGCCAAAAAAGGTACACGTCTAGAGTAGTCGAATATAGATACGAAGAGAAACTTGGTCTCGATGAATCTCCTGAGATAACATTGCTAGGGGGACCTTCATTTCGAATGAAAGTACATGAAGAAGAGAT